CCAGGGAGGGAAAAGGGGAGCTGGAGTTATTCATATCAAAGTAGTAAGAGTGGGACACAGGGGCAGTGGGGTGATGGTGGATGTCCTTCCCTGGGGAGCCAGGCTGGGCTGTAGCCATGGATTGTGCTTGGCCATCGAGACTCATGGCTTGGGGCCGCTCCCGAGGCAAGGAGAGAGCAACATCAGGGCTGGTAGGGGTGCAGGGATGGGCAGCTGGAATTGATGCAGTGAGGAAATGGCATTCCCCAGGTCATGAGGGAGCTGGTTTGCATGGAGGCAAACTCCTAACAAAATAGCAAGTGGCAGGCAGCCATTTGTCCATTGTCATTTCTTGGACAATTATGGAAGATGAGGGCAGTTTTTCACGGCCTAAGGCAAAACACCTCTGTAAGTGTGGCTTGTGTTTCCCAGAGGAGTCCTGCGAGCATGGCCTGGCTGCTGCACCAGTGCCACCAGAGCTGCTGTATCCACCTGCTGAGAACCAGGGGCCAGGCATTCCCACTGCCTGTTCTGGGCCTGGAAAGAGGCTTCCTGGAACATAAACCCTTGGCAGCAGGCAACGCCAGGAGAGCTGGTGAGCCTGCAAATAACCTCTGCTTCTGTAGTGGGAGGAGATGCAGTCTGGGGTGGGGTATCCTGCTTTGAGGAACTGTCTGCTCTTCTCTTTCACTTTCTCACTTCTATCATACTTTACTCCCACTACCTTTTTTTTTTTTTTTTTTTTTTTTTCATTCAAGGCCCTTTTTTCCTGGTGTGTTGTTCCCATTCAAGAACATTTGAAAAAGGTAGTCAAATAGGAAAAAAGTTATCTATTTTCTCAATTCCTCAAATTTTGTATGTGTGTATGTATTCCCTTTAACCTCTGCAAATTCTGTAAGAATGGGAGGAAGGAAAAATAAGTAACTGAAGACAAGGCAAAATCAGGAAATTGAAAAAAGTTCTGAAATGAAATGGAACGGTCATGTCCAATTTTACTAAAGCAGCAGGACATTAAAATGGCCTAGAAAGTTCTAATTTCCTTCTGTAATTTTTTGAAAGAGTTTTGAAAGGTCATAATTTTTAGTATTCTTGCTAGATTTCACGTGGTAAAACTCTTGTACCATTAGAGATCAATACCTCCCAGTGATGCTGTGTTTCCGGGATGACCAGTTTGGTTCTGGTTTTCTCCAGAGAAGAGTGGAACTTGGTATGGCTGATGTGCTGTACCCACAATTCTTCATTTTTTTCAGGAAAAACGGAAAGGTTGCTGTGCCCAAGGACAGAAGAGTTAAGAGATTCCCCACCCACAACTGGGACTGACTTTTGGAAGCAAACCTTGCCTGTGACAGTGACTCACTGTGTGAGTCCCACTGTTTCTTTGTAGTTGACAGCTGGGAAAAAAAGTTGAAAAAGAAGAGAGAAATACCTGAACTTTGAGTGTGTGGTACAACTGGTATGTTTACTGGTGTGGGTTGGGGTGATTCCACAGGCAAAGGTTCCCCTGCAGCTGGGCCGAAGGTGGGAACACATGAGCTCTGCTGAACTAAGAGATCATGTTATGAGAAGTAACACTCAAGTTGGTGCGGCAAAAGTAGCGCGGCTGTAAAGTAACTCAGCAGTATCTGAGCTGGAGCTGCTGTTGGAGAACATTCTCCAAAGGAAAATGTCCAGCAGGGTTCTGTAAGACCTGTGGCCCTGGGGGACTTGGTGTCCCATGTACCCATGATTTGGGAAATAACCTGAAGGGGCTGGAGATATCACAGAGCTGCTGTGTGATGGTCAAAGCCAACAAGTCCCTGCACAGGGACAGTGTGAAAGTGCCACTTGCCATGGGGAGATTGATCCGTCTGTACAGTGCTGGAGAGACCAAGGCCATGGCCAGCTCCCTGCCCATAATCCATGCATCTGTAGAGGCCTGGAAAACTCAGGGAGGTGATTTATGATTGTGGTGCTCAGCACACTCAGGGGAAGGCTGAGAGGAGGCTGTGTGGGAGCCAGAGCAGACGGGTTTTTGTAACTTTTTCTTTGCAGACCAGCACAATTTTCCAGGGGAGATGCAAGCCTGGGATAGTGGCTGTTGAGATCACAGACTTGCTTTGTTTAATTATCATTTGCAGACTGTTTAATAGGGGCCTGGAGACCCCAAGAACCACCAAGAGCCAGATGCTGACAACCGCCAAATAGCTTTGTAGGAAGAAGATATGTAAAGCTTTCATTTATTTAATGGAACTGAAAAATGCTCAAAATAGTGTTTCACATGCATAATTGGCCATTGAAGTGACAGACTGTGAGTTCTGACTGGCTTTGCTGTCATCTGAAGCTCTTTGGTTGGTCAATTAACTTTTGAACCTGGGCAGCCCTGCCTGCTGCTGCCACTGGTGTTCCTTCCATGTACTGTGAGGGATCTGGAGACCCTCAACATTTCTGTGCTTTTGACCAGCTACTTCTAATGCAGGTTTTCATGTTAAAGCCTTTCACATATGGTGTCTCCCACAGACCTTCTAAACAAATCTCAACAAGCAGCAGGTGAAACTTTACTTCCTGTTTTTAAAATTTATTTATAATTTTGGGTATCTTTGGTTGTTGTCCTCATTTCTGGGCCTGTCAGTTTTAGTGGTTTAAGGTTGTCAGTATACTGTGTCTCAGCCAGAGCCTAACCTTTGGGAGTGGTGTTAGTTCTCTTATTTTCAACCCAAATGGTGTGTGGGTGCCTCTGCCTCCCTCCAGGCTCTGCTGCTCTCTGCTGGTCTCCTTCCACTGCATGTGGGTTTCTCAGAGGTGTCGAGTCACTTGAAGTTTAACTAAAGGAGCCATGGACAGGGGATGGAAGGGTTCAAGCATGCCCTTTGTCTTTGTAAAATGGGAAAAAGGGTTTGGGATCAAGCTGGTACCTTCTTATGTGCTATCAGGACCTGGGCACAGATTTGTAGGAAATGGGTTTTGCTTATTATTGTGTGCAGGGGCAGAGGGTCTTTTTCAACAGTTCCTTCGGTAATTGTTTCATCCTTCTAATAACGCCAGCACTGTGTGGAGGCACATGAGTGTTCCCATCCTTTACCTTCTGGTGGTTTTAAACCTGCTGGCCAGTTTATTCAGAGATACATCAACCCAACGTTTCATAAAAATCTGTGGCCTAGAAGAAAAGAGAGGTGCAATATAGGGCCCCCTCCAAGGGAAAGGCTCCAGTAGATGCTTGCAGTTTGTTGGAGAATTTCCCATGCAAATACCCCAGCTCAGCCAGGCCCCAGGTCCCCGTAAGACAAACATCTGCATGAGGCTGGATGCTAACCCTTCCAATGCACCACAGCAGGCTTTCTCTACTTCCTCCCTGCTCCTTTTCATCTCCCTTTCTCTCCCACGGACTGTCACTGGCTTTACCTTGCCAGATGATGTTTAGAGGTGAGTTTAGGGATGCTTATAGGACATCTGGGGGATGTGCTAGAGCTCAGGGCTGCACCTAAGGCAGGCATCTCCTAGCTTCTTCACTTTAGAAAGCAAGTCAGCCCACTTGGGAAACTTGTCTCGGGAGGAATCACTCATCCTCCAGGGTTTCCCATCTCTACACTGACTCCAGAGCAACCTGCAGCAGATCCCAGACCCATTTTTCTGACAATCAAACCCTCGAGTTTAATTATAATACTGCCTTTCAACTCCAGTGGTTAGATCCTGCAGCCTGCTCCCAGCAGATGTTTTTCCAGGTGAACAAGGAGGGCTGTTCTGCCCTGCTGCAACCCCTGAGCTGCCTGGTGAGGTGTGAGATGCTTCAATCAAGGAGCCCAGAGTGACTGTGCCAGCCTTGCCATGGTCACCCCGTGTTTCCAGCTGGGAAGGGAGCTCCCATATACAGCAGCCTGAGAGAGATACACACGTGGGTGCCCAGGCATATTTTTAGCTCTGCTTCCAACCCTTCAGAGCGAGATATGAGATGGCTGAGAGGGGTTTGATCCAGACTTGTGTCTCTGCCACAAAGCCAGGCTGTGGAGCAATGCTGGGCAGGCTCTTCCACCCTCAGCTTGCCCTTAGATGGGGACAGAGCAGCTGCAAGAGCAATGTATGGTGTGAGCAACTGCAGTGTGCAGCTCTGGAAGTGCCTTCTGCTTGCAGACCCTTGTATTGCCCCAAAGGAATCTGAGCACATTGTCAAGGGAGGATGTTACAGTGCAGGATCCCAGAATGGTGAAAGGATTTAATCCAAACATTTGAAGGCGTCAGCCAGTTGGATCCTGACAGGAGGAACATTGATACAAAGCCCTTCCTGGATCTCTGATGCTCAGAAATCTTCTAAACAATCTCATGTCATGAGTGTTTTGGTGAGGAATTATATAAAAATACCAAAAAGTATGTTATGCAATAAAGTGTTTGGAGTCACAAGGGAGACTTGCAAATCTAGCCATGAGGCATTTGTATGTAAAAAAACCCCAAAATTAAAAAAAAAAAAAAATTGTAACTTCTTTCAACTGCAACCTAAACTTTGTGCTAAGTTAAATCTCCCCAGCCCTGGGCTGATCCCAGTAGCCCCTCCAGGGTTTTCAATGCATCCAACAATGAAAGTGAAATCCAATCCCATCCAATTAGAGGAAAATGAATGGCTCATCTACAATAAATGGGCTCTGAATAACAATAAGCCAACAAGAGAGCAATGAACTGGAGACAGAGTACAATCTTCCTGAATGTTAATCGACAACTAACTCCACAAGCTTCTTAGAGGTGGAAAGAATTGGAGGAAAATAGATTAGGGAGGCTTTAGAGCACATTGCCTTTTAACTGCTTAGGCCTCACATTTTTATCTAAATACAAGAATGTTTCTAATGCTGCCTTTTGCAGGGTGAAGGGTGTGTGTGTGTGTGATGGGTGTTCTCAAAGTTAAATGTTTTCAATTCATTTATATTTTGACATGGTAGGTCCTACTTTATTATTTCATTGTTTATCTTATTCAGAAGGCCATTTTTAAAATGGCAAAGTAAAATGGCAGAAGCCTTGGAAAATGCTTTCTGTAGACCGGAGGAGTGAGGCCGAATGGATCCAGGAGTTAGCCTGAGACTGAAAAGAAGCTGGAGAGGTGAAAGGAGAAGGAAAACTCTGCAGTTCAGTGGTTGAAGTGCTATCTATATCCACAACTCCCCCGGTGCTTCTTGTTGGTCCCCCCTAGACACCTTTTCACCCTGTCAAGGCCTGATACACCTGCAGAGCAGCTCAGCTGCTGCTTTCCACCACCCTCAGCCCCACAAGTACTTTTTGTAAAGACAGGGAAGATGCCAGGTGTCCTGACCCATCACTAAGAAGCTCCCACATCCATGCAGGCTCCATATCCAAGGCAACGAGGTCTCACCCAGCTGAGCTGCATTGCCCATCCTCTCTACTCAGTTTATTAAATCCCTAATTACCTGGGTTTTTATCCCCTCCAGACAGGTAGAGGGCTTATTTAGCTTGCCTAGCACTACCATCCCCTTCTGCTTACCCTCATCCACAGGAGTCAACTCAAAGGCCAGGGAGACCAGGTGAGAGAAGACTCACCTCACTGCAGGCACCCACCTCAGCTATGGAGGGAGAGGACTGATCCTCTGGAAAGCAAAGTTCCCCAACACTGGCGCTGCCACAAAAGATGGTGTGGAGAGTTCCATGCAGAAAAGAGAATGGAGTAACTTTTAAGGTGAATGATATTTTAAATTATATCTTTATAATTTATTTGTTTTGCAGGGTTTCATGTGTTGCATTCTTTTTCACAAAGGTCTTCCCAGAAGCAGCTCCTAATTTGCTGTCTTGTGGTCTAAAAAGCTGGCAAACAGGTCCATAGGAAGCCAAACTCTGTCCTTTCTCTGCAAGATGGAAATGAAGAGAGGAGCCATATCCCCCTTTCCCTCTCCTGATCTGCTGTACAAGCAAAGGGTCACTTATATTCTTTCAGAGCAGTAAGAATTTGATCGTCATATAGATAATATATTAAGTAATATGCATGCAGAGGTAAAGGGGATTTGGAAGGGAGAATTATTATTTTGTAAATTAAATTACAATTTTGTCTCAGCGGCATTAAAATAGATTTCCAAAGACCATTGTCTGCTTGAACAAAGAAAGGAAAGGAACTGTTAGAAGCAGTTTACACAGCTCATATATGAGGGGTTGTGTGTGTAAATAAGATCAGTGTTGGTACTCAGCATGAGAGCACATTTGCTGCAATGTGCCAGGCATGCTCTGGCCAGCATTTGGGAATAACAACACACCTTGCTAAAGCTTAGCATAGAGAGCAAGAGATGCCAAGAGGAATTTCAAATTTCACAAAAGCATTTTTTCTAAAAACTGACGTTAACTGTGGGACAGGACAAGGCAGTAGCTGATAGAAATGCCTGGGTTTGGCCATTTTGGGCCAAAATACTGTTCCTTTTCCTTTCGGCATCCTCAGAGCACCATCATCCTTCCCCCATCTTGCCTTGTTCCCTCAGCAGTAAACACAGAGCTTTTGCTGGAGTCTCCCACCTTGTTTTGTTTCTTTGGCAGATTTTGGCTGCCACTAAATGCAAAAGTGATTCTTTGGTTAGCTGGGGATTTTCAATGAAAGAGGGTTCTTCTGCAAGTCCTGGGAAAAGTTAGGAGTGCTTTGCTCCCCAGATAAGGTTCAGTGTAACATTTAGACCAGGCCCAGACACCTTAAGAAGCATTAAAAATGTTAGTACTTTAACCTTATTGTGCAAAACTGCATGGATTTATGTTTATTGTATGACAAAAATGGAATGGCACCAACAAGTTAAACTGTTGTTCTGTAAAACCAGATTAGGGTAACTCAGTTTACCCCAAAGAGCAGCATCTGTTCCTCATGGTTTTGGCTCTGGAGACAAGGGGTGCTGTTATGTAACAACTGCTGCTGATTTGGGGGGGGTCACACTGAAGCTACAAGATAAGGACAAGGCTGATGGAAAAAACCAATAGTCTGTGAGAGTTTCGGAGCAGTCATTATCATTTAGAAGAGCAATATCCTATGGAAAAAAAATCCCTTTTAATAGGTGCTCGTCATGTTTACATTTTTTGGCAAAACCAGCTCTACTTGCCCCTGTGACTATAATCCCTCCAAAGCACTGTGGCCAAAGGCTGATATCCAGTTTCTTTTGGCACTGGACTGCCTCTCCCATGAGGATCTGCCCCAGGAGCTCATAGGAGGCTCCTGCCCCTGCTTCACACAGTGGGCAGCTGAGATACCCAATGGATGGGCAACCTTCTCTCAGCCTGGAGTGCTTTTCCACTGGTGACTTCAACATCAGCCCTGGGGTAAGGTTGGCTGTGGTTTGGGGGCTTAGGGCTGTCCCCATCTCCCTGTGACCTCTGAGTGGCAGCCTAGCCTGCAGCAAGCTGGCTGTGACATTGGTAGAAAAGCACTCAACACTCATTTACAGCATAAAGCTTAGCCTTGCTGGGATACACAGAGAGCTCTCTGCTGAGATCTGTGCTTGTGGGACCGATGTTCCCTGTCATATTTTGTATTCCCAGCCTGCTGAAGAGGCTGATGTCCAGAGCAGAGAGTAAGGCCAGCACTGCCCTGGCACTCTCACAGGGCTGCTGCCCCTGGAACAAAGCACTGTTTGAGACCGGCTTGGGCAGCCCATGGCTCCCTATGGGGATCTTGTTCATTTCAGAGAAAAATCTGGCAAATTTTTGCCTTTTCTGTCTTGACATTGGTGACTGTTCCCACGTCAGGAGGAGTAAGTCAGGGACAGAACAAGTCAGGTTCTGCAGCTCCCAGCACAGTGCTAAGGCCAGACACTTTTCTCTTGACAAGCTTTATGGATGTTGCATAATTTGTAGATTAATAATTAATAACTAACTCCTATGTGAACCTGCTTTTGCTTTCCTATCTGTTGCTGACTGGGAAATTAAGCTGGGTGAAAAAGCATTATAAATAAGGTAAAAATTGTGCTTGGGTAGTTCTTGGAGGAGGTGAATGCTCAGATGATTTTTCTAATACTGACATGAGCACTTTTTACTGACACAAGGAGTATCAGTAGTCTGAAAGGGAGGGCTTAGTGAGAAGCATACTATTTGCTAAGTAATACTTAGAAAGAAAAGGATCTGTTTTAGAACAGCACTGGTCTGGATGGAGGCTTTCTGTGCTGAGCTGCGTTGTACACATGGGAACAAAAGTGGCCTTATGAGGATGGGAGACACTGCTCTACCATGAGAGCAGTTGTACCTGTCATGGCATCTATGCCCAGGAAAGGGTGGGGTTTAACATTTTTCACTGGAGTTATCCCTCTGAAAAAATGGAAGCAAATTTCTGTCTGTAAGCCCCAGAGGGCTTTACAAAGGGAGCCAAGGCTCAGGCCAGAGATGTCCCTTTGGGCTGAAGTGTAAAACAATCCTTGCAGTGCCCAGCTCCTTTTTTATCTTCAGGCACTCACCACCTCCCACATTTATCCTATAAACCCATGTTGTTTAAATTCAGATTTATTGATGATGCTGTCTTTTAAAGTCTCTTGGTGAACCTACCTGCAATCAGCTCACTTTTATTTGCGTGACTGACTCTATCAACAGCAGCAGACACTTGATCCCTTGGATCTGGTAGGGGAGCTCAGCATCTATATCCAGTGTGTCCATCCCCCTCTCAAAGTTCAGGAACTACCATACTGCTGTAACCCTCCTACAGCACCAACATCAGCAAGAAGCTCAAACTCAGCTTTTCTAACATGCAGCTCTCTGCTGCACCTTTATTACCTGTAGCACTGAAGGAAGGAACATCTCAGATCTTCAAGTGCAGCTTTTCTCTGCTCAGCTTGCCTGAAAAAGGAGATTTTAGAATATCTTTGTCCCGGGACAGCCAGGATTTAGTCTGCAAGCTACTGCTGCCCCCTCCACTTTCTGAGGTGTTGCAGGCCTGCCACATCCTTAGAGGCTGCCAGAGCATAGCACAGTTCATTTGAATTTGAATAAAGTACTGAACTTTATTTTGAGGCCTAAAATTCAAATCAGAATGCGATGAGCGCACGCCTGCAGGATGTGCATTTTAAAAAGAGCTTCTGAGCTCTTTTTTTAGAGCTGCCCATGTTTCCTGTCTCTCTAGTTTTATCATGTGGAGAGCAAATACTGAAAAAACCCCAAACTTCTGCATTAAAACATTTCCCAAAGCATGGACCTCACTGACAGATTTTCACTGGCATATTTCAGTGTCAGGGGAAAAGTGACTCCTTAGACTATATATCCTTGTTTCTTTTTCATCAGAATAAAATTTTGGTCAACTCAGAAAGGCTACCCTAAATATCTTAGGTTTAAGGAAAAAAAGAAAAAGGGGGCAACCCTCCCCCCCCACCCTCCCAAACCAGTAAAGTTTAAGCCCAACTAAGATTTTGACAATTTGGGCAGAGAGATGTTATTTTAGAAATGCAGTCAAAACTGAAATTTTTCTCAAAGTTTGCTATAGGAAAATGGCTGCTACATTTAGTAGGTGTCACAAAAAATCCTCAATAGCTCATTAGAGAGAGAGAGAGAGAAACAACCAGTCTGTCCCTGGAATATCCAGGGCTCCAATTGGCAAGACTCACCAGGTAATCCTTTTTCAGCAGAGGTATGCAGTGAAAGTACCAAGGCAATCCAAGAATAATAAAAACATTAATTATAGGCTTTGTCTCCCTACAGAACATATGGACCTTAATGCCTCTTGCAGGGATTTATCACACATGAGAATGTAGTATATTTTTACTGCTCCTTCTTGCTCTTTTACTCATCAAATACTGGAGTTTTCCAAACATGGTGCTCCCAAAGACTAAATCCTTAGCTGGTAGAAAACGGGCTCATGCAGCTTATTCCCTCTGCAGCTATACTGGTTTGCGCTGGCTGCGGATCAGTCCTGTTATATTACCTAGGCATAGAGTTGTTTTAATTCTTTATTCCTGTTTGATTTCAATTTCAAAAATAAAACTGTCTTACAAAGTACATGTTTACAAGCGAGTCAAAACCCATTACATGGAAACTATTTAATTGTAAGCAGGTTAGATCAGCTTTCCTGTGATAACATCTTCTGATACTGGTGTCTCTTTCTTGTTCAGGCTTAAAACTTCTCTTGCAAAATCCCCTTGTATTCCTTTGAACTCCCCTGGGAGATTAAAAAAAAAAAGAAAAACCCCTCCAGTTAACACTCCCTCATTTCATTTTTAAAGGTCATGCTTAGAGCTGGCAGTTGTTATAGGAGCTGTCCTCTGTAAAGAAAAGTCTTAACTAGCCAGGCACAGACTTAACCTCAACATGGAAAAACTAACATTGTCACTAGGATATGGAGAAACCATGGTGAAGAGCTAGCAACAGCCAGACCACGGCAGAATGAGCAGTCGGCATCTGCTCGGTGGGCCTTTATCATGCAGTGTTGTATGTACGATTCAAAATGCACAGGACGATTGTTGAAATGATGTAGACAAATTGACTCAAATTAGTTTAGCATGGGCCATGCAAAGTTTAAGCTTGTTGAGCCCAGACACATAGCAACAGCTCCGCGCGGCCTCGCGCTCGCGGCGCAGGCACACAACGGGCACCACAGCCCGCCTTCGCGCCTTTTGTGCCTGCCTGCCTCTTTTCTTTCCATTTTGCCTGGCTCTAGACAGTCTTGGCAGAAGCAAACCCTGCTGAAGAATACGCTAGCACTGATAATTTTATAGAAGTACTTGTGAGCTTTAATGTCATTTTATACTTCCTTAATCTTTTGACTGTTACTTAATGACAAACAAATCCCCAAAGAACTGGGGAGGTGGGGGGAAGATTAAAAGGATTTTGAGATTGTATTCTCTGCTTTCAGTCAAACTGTCCCAAATCCTGCCAACACAATTCTCCAGTGCCCTATGACACTCCTCCCCAGACCACCAGGAGTGAGTTTCTTATTGTATTTACAGTAATCTAATTACAACAGTTCTTCAATTCAAAGCCAGCTTTGGTATACAGACTTTAGCAAGAACTCTCCTCTAGTGCAGATTGCAAACTTTAATCTTTTAAACTAACACAGAACACCCCCTTTCCCCAAAAAAAATTTCTGAAATGCCTGTGTAAGCTACTAAGATGTATTCCCCCTCCCACACCCGCCAACACTTTGCTCATCTTTTTGTTAAGTTTCTTTTGTGCCAATTTACTGCCTAAGGTAATAATAGAGCTCCTGAGAGATAATATTCTGCAAGGTTATAAAATGATGATACAAGCAGGTTGCCTGCCAGAAAATTCCTTTTTAAAAAAATATTTCTCTAAATGTGTGTAGTTACCTTAATTTTTTTAGCTTCTCTCTTTTCTTTGTAGTTAAAGAAGCAGCTATGTAGAAAAAATATAGACTGAGCATTTTACTTTAAAATTAAATAGTCTCGGCTTTAAATTGCCATTACTCAAAGCCACTTGATGCAAATCTTAAAGCTGATTAACTTTATTTAGAAGAAACAGAGGACAAAAGTAGATGGAATTTGTACATAATAAAAATGTCAAGAAATGAAGACAGAAAAGATTGTTTTACATGAAGCAAAATACAAAACGAAAGTACATCCACAATGAATTAGCAAATCTGGACATTCTTAGTGTGCCACTGCAGCCATCTAGCTCTATACACAAGTATTGCACTGTTCACTTTCACAGTTCCATCACAGGTTTTCCATTTAGTGCTTCTACACTAACACTGGGTTTACCAAATCACATCTTTGGCGAGTTCAAGGCAGCTTTTCTCTTTTTCCTGTCTGGCATTTGACTTTGTGAGTTGTGCTTGTGTACAGTCTAACCTGGAACTCGCTAAAGTTAATGAAGTCTTCATTCCCCAAAAGATCAGAAATAATTTAGGTCTCCCTCATTACTGTGTTCTTTTGAAGATATACAGAGGGCAGAAATCATGTATTCTCATATTACATTTATGAGTGTACTCAGTTTGTCCTTTGAAATCTGTCTGATTTCTGTGAGATCAATCATTTTGCTTTCTAGTATATTTTCAACAGGACTTGTAATATCAAAATTGTTTTAATAAATTCCTCTTGTTGAGATTCATTGCTCTGCAAGTGGAAATCAGCTGGCCAGTCAACCTCAGCTATTTCCTACTGTTTTCTGTGAATCTTGAAAAACTAGAAACACAAAAGTACTTTTTCCAGTCTCACATTCACTCTTGAAAAACTACTTCTAAAATATCCTTGTGCTGTTTTCCTCCAAGCAAACTGTCCATGGCAATGCTCGATAAACGATGCACTTATTTAGCTTGTAAAATCTTTGGATTTCTACACACTCTGCTTAATCCAAAGAACTCAAAATGAAATAGCTTAGTAAAGTACATATGAAAGAGCAAGAAAGAGCAGCTGCATGAAAACCTCCCAACTTCCATCAAAGTGTCTTGCAAATGACAGATGGTATGTAGCAGTTAATTTCTGTGAGATCTCACTTCAGTTTCATTCTCCGCGATAATAGATCTAATCCTCACAGTCCACTAATTTATCAGGTTGGACAATGTACAGGAAATATTGTGAGCCTTACAAAAACGAAGTTCCTTACCAGTTTGGGAGATACTCTCATGCGAGACACGGGCTTCTCCAATGAAAGGAAAATGTTGCGTTGCTGTAGTGGGAAGTGTGAAGCAGGGATCCCAAAGTGTATGGATGCCATCTGCTGGCACTAAAGAACATGACCCGCCATCCACCTTGAAGATGGATGTGGAGGGTCCGATTTCATTTTTCAGATTGGCCTGAGCCACTCATGTTATTCCATCTCCAAACTCACATCAATAGAAGAAAAATTAAATTGAGATTATATAAGCTCTCATTTAATCGGTATCTCTGTGCTTCAGCATTAGGTTTTTCTAATGTTTTACATCATCAGGGCTTGGTGATTTAGGAATAAAAGGCATCTCTGCTTGCAGTTTTGCTGAATATGTTTAAATGTACTAATCCTCGTGTAAGTTTATTAGACCATTGTTTCACATGTAGTGCTGCATGGAAAGGGTTCTGCCAGCAAAGCCAGGTTTAGCCCAGGGAGTCCATCTCTCTGGGTTTGTGACATTTATTGCAGCAGTGCAAGGCACAACCTTTCCAAATTTGACCGAGAGCTCCAAACTTACAGGACCTGAAAAATGCCAAATATCAAATGGGCTTAGCTTGCCCTTGCATGCCTTCTGTCTCCTGGGCTGTTAGGATTTATGGGCAACTCATTCTCTCTTTCCATAGCAATGCTCCAAACACTGTAAGACGTCAATGTGGATGGAACAGTTGGCATGGGAACTTTCCCAAAGACGAAGGTGTGTGAAAAGGTTGTGGGAATTAATCTGTAAAAAATGAAGACTGATTTAGGTGGTTTTGCCTGGAAATGCTAGGGTGAATTTAGAGAGGGCGGTTGGAGTTTATAATTAGAATTATCATACTGTTAGCTCATAATTAACAAGTAGTCAGAATGTTCCTTTCTACATGTTTGATTAATTTTCTTGGGTCTATGCTTGAAGAAGGGGCACCAGCTCCATCATACTCCCCATAATGCACAGTGGATATGATACACTATATTTTTTCCAAGGATGATCCATTCTTGTGAGCCTTTCCCCATTCCACAGTTCTTAGAAAGATGCCTTCTCTTTCTGTCTTTTTTACTCTAGGCACTTCATGTTGTTAGAGAAGACCTGGAGCCAAGCAAGCTGAGAAGGCTGTCATTATTTAGTGCCCAAACTCTAAAACAGGGTCAGAACCAACAGTGTAGCTAATGATGGGAAGTGCTTAATGAAGGGTCAGCAAAGGGATATGACTAATGAAGGGAAAAGGACTGCAGAACTGCAAAGTCACTGTGTGCAGTGCACAGCAGATCAAAGCTCTGTAAGTCCTTGTAACGCCAAGCCCACAGCCATGTTTTCTCCCTCTCACTCCTCATCCTCCTAGCGCAGCAATAATTTCCAAATCACCCATGGCAGCACCTGGCAAAGCTGCAGCTCCCACTGCTGGAGCTCAGGCTGACTGCACACACAAATCTCTGACACCCAGCCCCTCCCTGCTCCACAGGGAGCTCATCAGAGAGTTCTGCTGGAAGCAAGGACAGCAATCAATTCTTCTATCAATTCTTTCCTTCAAAAAAAAAGCTGTTCTGAGTCTTCTACAGGAGTGTTAACTGCATTGCAGGAGTGAGTCAGTGCTTTAAGATGTAAGTAATTAATTCTGCTGCCATCATCATCGCTGGTATTATTTTTATTCTTTTCTTAAATAGCAAAAAGAATTGAAGGAAGTATAGGGTTTGATTTGATAAATCAGGAGAAAGAGGAAAACTATACTCCACATAGAGAAGAAGGGTTCAAAACCATTGTGCAGAATTTAGATTTAGTTGCGTATGGGATTGTATTTGATGAAATTCAGAGGCTTGAGTCTGCAGTTTGTTCAATCACATGGTTTTCTTCACTTTTGAATGTTCCTTTCATCCACTCAATATGCCAACAGTCAGTATGGAGTGGCCAGGCAGAGATCAGGCACAGCATTAGAAAGCTGTGTCATCAAGTATTCACTCCTTAGCAGTATCAATATGATCTTACTTTGTATTTGAAGTAGGTGACTTTTAGTTCAAAACAGACTTGAAGGTACTTCTTGTGAATGTTCCCACACCTATTTTACAGTTCTCTGTTTCATTTTTGTCTTTTCTTTTGTAGGAATAAACACAGTAACAGCAAAAAGAGTCTCTGGTATGCCACCACTGTGATATGCTGAACTTGAGAGCCAGTGGCAAGGTTGGCTCTCCTGATTAGGAGCTGGCAGTGATCAGACCATTTACTGGACCTTAAGACCTCGTGGAGTGGTTTATTCTTATGCAGCCATGTCTGAAAGGTACCAAGAGTACCTGAAAGCAGTTGTTCATCTATAACCCGATAATTAAACACCTGTAACAAAGTCTGGAGGTTCCTCCTGATTGTCCAAATGCTTGTGTGTTTCATCAGTCCACTGGGAAGAACAAGGAAGAAGAGCAGGGAGTTGAATGTCTAATTAAACGGGTGGAAGGCATCCACTCAGCTCTGCAGAGACCTCTTGGGAGAGAAAAGCAAGGAAAGCGGTGCTCAGTGCCTTCACATGCTGGGGTTGTATCTTTGCTCTGTAACCTCAAAAACATGGAAGGACTTCCTGCTGTGTAGATCTGTAAATCTGATAATGTTTTATTTCATAACAAAAATGGAGGCACAGTAGAGATAAACCTGAGGAGTGAACTTCATGCCAAGCACAGCATGTTATTTTAAATGTCAACCTCATGGGGAAGGTTACCATGTCAACTATTTTCTTTGGAGGTTATGCTATGAAAGTGGGTGAACACACACCCCACTCAAAACTCACTCAACCTTCCACCTGCATAAAACAGAGCAAAAAAGCTTAGGAAAACACATTAGCAAGAAGAGCGCACAGCTGGGAAACAGCAAGAAGGACATTTTATTTAAAATTTAGTAAAAACCCGAAATGTCACAAGAGTTGCTGCACTTTTATGCAGCACACCACACCTAGGAGATTAAACAGCAATATTGTCATTTGTACCTATTTATTCAAGGCAGGGATCTGACCTTTCCAGGCTCATTTGTTTCAGCAAACTTTGCTCATGCTACTCATGACTGCTCATATACATAAGGCTTGCAAGATTAGAACATCAAATAATTGCTGATAATATGAAGCCAGTGTGACAGAAGGAACAATAGTGTTTCTTATTATGTGATTATCTTTCTTTTTTCTTTAAAGCTGTGAGAAACCACTTCAATTACTTTGATCATTTTCCTGTCAAAGGTAAATTTTTAATTGGCCACTGCACTTCTACAGATAGGAAGCTTTTTTTGTGATCTCTGCAAATCTCAACAAATACATCAAACCAGGTACTGTAGGTCTACTAAATAATATTATTGTAATTGTTTTGTTCAGCGTCTGTAAACGTCCACGCAATCATTTTCTCAGTCATTCGGAAGAAATGCCACCCTGCAGGTTGAGCAACAGATCCATATTGCTTCAGGGGATGGGTGGCTTCAGTCTTGTCCCTTGACCCTTAAATGACACCGTGGCCTGACCTATAAAATGAGGACAATTAAATCTATTCATTTTTATAAACACTAGTGCAACACACAGTTGAATGGCACAATGTAAATTTAAAATCTTAATTAAACTGAGGCAGAGCGCCGAGTAATCACAATGCACACACACTACTTGAAACCAGCTCATTAATAGTTCTGCTGCTGGAACCAGTTTCCTAATGGCTCAGTAATGAGCTGACTACAATTCTAAACCATGCTTCCTGATAATTTTTTTTAAAATATGTAGCTATAATGTGATAATGTCTTGAACTTGTGTGCACAGGTAACAAAAAAGATACCTCCAAACACTTAACAGCCCAAGACTGAAAATCTGTTATTTTCTATTCACAATTTGTATTAGTATAACTCTGTTACAGAAAGGAAGGAGGATATTCTAGCTTTTTTGTTGGTAGCTGGCAGTGTTGGGGTATTCAGTAGAATGTTTGATCTCTGTTACTGCCTGACCCCTCAGCCAAAAATAGTATGCAACCAACTCACTTCTCCGAGTTTCTTCCCTTGCACGTTGTGATCACCCAAAACTAGCAGACAGTTTCCTTTCCTACGAGACAAGATGCATCTGCAGGTGAGGCATCATGCTTAACCAAGCACATCTCTTCACATGCAATGAAGATATTATATATGTTTGAGTGGGGTATGCTGCTCTTTCATCCCTGCCTGGTTTTGTCAGTAGTAAGTCAGCCAGCAGCCTCACTGCCAATAAATGTTGGATATTAACCTCCCTCCTTTCTTTCAGCACACTATTAACCTAGCTTATCCACTCAGGGAGCACATTTTTAAGCCTCGTGGTAGATTTATATTTGGAATTTGCAAAAGTACAGTCTTTGCCTAATCCCTCTCCACTACACCACCAGCATGGATCTGCAATGGGGAGGTGCTGACTTCCATGGCATACAAGTTAGGAGATGGCATCCAAGAAGGTCCATCTCTGGCCTTGGCTGCTCCACTTGAAAATCTTCAGAAAGTGATCAAATATAACAGCACATCTCACAAACTTGCCTGTTGACTTCCCCGTTCAGGTCTGCTGATGAGCAAACTGTTCAGCTGGAGTTTGTTGTACTCACAAGCCTATAGACTTCACCAGACATGTACCAGACACAAACCCCACAGCTCTGCCATTTTACAACAGCTACCTACAACAGAAAAATGGAACTGCAAGGCTGAGGAATTCAGGAGACATCACATTTTAAATATAAGTTCTGTACTGAGACAGAAAGACTTCTTTTAGGGTTCTTTCCTGGGTCTACATCAAATCCAACAGAGTAAAACTCGAACTCTGGCTGTAGTTCCCCACAGCTACTGCAAAAGAAGCAAACACAAGTCTCACAAAAGAATACAAAATATATGTATTTTGACCTTCCTTCAATTATTTTCTGCATCTATAATCATAGTGCATTCACAGACAAAATGTAAAAACCTATAATCTAAATGAAGGAACCACTCCTCCACAGGGGAAGATAGAATGTTATAATTTTTCCATTTTAAAATTGTTAAGAAGGTAATTACATGCTATTTCCAGTGAAAGCATGTTATTTATTTCTCAGAAAGATTCACTAATACTTACAAAGTCTTTTCTGAATATACCAACAGTAGACCATTTTTGAGCCTGTTTATAAATTAAATGTTCAATGAATGAAAAATTGAGACCAAAAATAGTCACGATGACGACATCTCTGCAACCAACACCTTTCCCTCAGCTTCAACAATTTAGCAAAGTAACAGGCACTCTGCTCATTTTTTTGTTGTCTGCAGAGATGTCAGCCTGAAGTTATTTCAGTTATTAACACCTGTCAGTGAGGCTCTTCTCCCTGTGGCTGTGGCTTTACAAGGAAGGTGGCTCCTTCTGTTGGCCCAGCAAAACATTTGACTGACCCAAGTTCTGTGCTGTCCTAAGTCTTCCAGTGTTTGAAAAGAAGAGATGTTGATCTCTGTGATGCCTTTTATTTTCAGTTACTAGGAGGCAAAACATTCTTTGATTCCTTGTGCTGCAAAGTTTATGGGTGATTACCTCTATTGCAGATAAAATACTTCAGCAGCAACTCTTTCTGCTGCCATGAGAAGCTTCAGGCCTTGCATTTGTAGCAGAGCATCACATGTATAGAAAGCACTGTGTACAGCTGGACTTAGGGCAAGGGATGAATAGCAGCTGTAAGAAAATATCCTTATCTCAAAGACTGAAAAGATGTCAACAGTTGCAGGTGTCGTCTGTTAGAACCAGTCACATAAACACTAAATAGTAAACACTCTCTGCAAACACTGAGCTCAGAGCTGCAGCCTCCCAGACGGAAATCAAGATCCCAGAGTAGAACTCCTGTGTGTCTATGTAGTATTATTTCCAAAGTACATGACTAATCCATGCATTCTGTGTGTCTCCTATATCCTGACAGCACCCATGGTGTGCTCCCTACCAGACATCACCCTCAGTTTTTCACTTGGATTCTCCCACATTAATGCTTTCACCCATTCACATCCAAAACAGAGTATATGGATGCTATGTGTTAAGCAGGTCAGGAATGCCAAGTCCCTGTGATCCGCAAACCCCTCTGAGCCCATGCAGCATTGCTCTGATAGATCACATTGATGCACAAATGAAGGAGGAAGCAGAGGTCGTATTTTGTCTATATAACTTTTCTAAACTCACGAAGCATTCAATAAGGTATTCAGTATTCCTGTGCTGCTGAAAGCAGTTCTGTTTCTAAACACAAAGTACCTGTGACTTTCCTCTCGCCCTTGGCCATCTGGCATTCCCTTGTCTAACAAACTTGAAAGTCAATGTTGATCCCCAGGGATCCTTAGAGATGTACATGGAGAGGCCCCACAGAAGGGGGTGAACATCTGAAAACCCATCTTTCCCAAGTTATCCTCATTGGCGCAGTTACCTATAAAGCCATGCCCTTAAACCACGAACCACAAATTTATTCTCTTCACGTGCTATATGAGAAGCTCAGCTCACTCAAATAGTAGATGGGATGAAGGGTGTGATGCAAATATTGCTTAACATAAACCTGGATCCTTAGGATTAGTGTAGTGGTTCCACAAGATGCCGCTGGCAGCAGACCGGGTGCAGCTCCGTGTCGGACTGTGCTGCTCTGTGCTGCAGAGAGCTTCTGCAGCCTCCCCGTTGGGCCAACAGCACGGGCAGGGTGTCCCAAGGGGTCATCTCTTCAGCGGGACCGCTCCCCAGCCCAACTGAGCGCCACAAGCCAACCTCCTGCACCCCGAAGCATCTCGGTCAGCTACAGCACCGCCGGCACCCCTTCCCTGCCGCTACCCGGCATCTTCCTCCCCCTCGGTGCCCGGCCCCGGGGCAAGAAGGTGCCCCCAGGCCCGTGGGGTCCGCGGGGGTGTGCCGGACCCGCAGGCCCTCGGGGGGCGCGGCCCCTCTGAGGGAGGGCACGGGAGGCGGCGGCGCAGGAGGAGGCGGGGGCGGTGGGTCCGGCAGCCCCGGGACGGGCAGGGGGCGGGAGCGGCGGCGCCCCCCGGCCGCCGAGGGGCCGCGCCGGGCGCTGGGGCGGGGTCTGCGGGCGCCGGCAGGGCGGGCGCCACGTCGGCAGCGGGGACGGGCGGAGGAGTAAAGTCTGAGCGGAGCCCGGGCGGGCCGAGCGAGCCGTGAGCGCCGTGCAGTGAGTGAGGGGGCGAGGGAGGGAGGGAGGAAGGGATGAGCGGCCGCCGCCCCCGGCCCCGCCGCCAGCCGGGCAGCCCCCAAGCGCCCTCCCTGCCTCCCGCGGATGAAGGGGAACTTGGATGGGAGGAGGCGGGAGAGCACCCGGCGCGCCCCGGCGGAGCCGCCGGCGGCAGAGGCGGGTCGGGGATGCGGAGCCGCCGCCACCTGCCCCCGGCGCGGGCACAGCCCGGCCGCCTTTGTGCTTCCTGCCGCCGCTCCGCGGGGCGGGAGGGCCGGGCCGGGCGTAGCGGCTCCGCCGCGGCCTTGGCTGCCACGTCAGTGCCGCCGCCCTGCGCCCAGATGCCGGCGGTGCCCGCCCCGGCCCGGCCGGGGACATGGGCGGGGGTCGCTGCCGGCCGCGGCCGCAGCTCCGCCGGGCACGCAGGTAGCTGCGAGGGGAGGTCGCGGCGGGCACTGCGGGGCTTCGGCCGCCCGAGGGTAAGGGGGGGCGGCTCCTCGGGTGTGGGACCGAGGCAGGGGGGCCGCGCTGCCCTGCCGCTACCACCCGCTCTGGGCCGGGCGCCTGTGGAGGGGCGGCCCCCCACCTGGGAGGGAGGGCAGCTGAGGGAGCCGTGCTCGCCTCGGCCTGGCTCTTGGATGGGCTTGTTCTCCCTCGAGAATTTTTCCAACCCAGTAGAAGCTTTCTTTCGGGTTTTCTTCTTTTTAAACTTTGCAGTGTTCGGATGTTTGCTGTAGTAACGTGCTCTTTGTTTCATCCATGTCTCTCGAGTCTAGCTTGGTGGAGTAGCATATGAAGAGGTTTTTTGTGAGCTGTTTGGGACCAGCTTAGCTTTCCACATTCACCTAGCCTAGGCGTTTATGCGGTGTGGCCTGGAAATCAAGGCAAGTTGTTGTATGTATGCCTAGTTCTGGTCATTGTATGAGCTGCAGAGACAACCTCTGTGGACGCAATTAAATGCTTCCTTCTGCCTAGTGAATTAGGGTGAAAATGAGAACTCTGAATCAGGATGTCCCTCCATAAGGAATGTAAATATCAAGTGCATGTAGCTTGTTTCAGTGTGTCCACTGTGTTGCTTCAGGCAGGATGCCCCTGTATAACTGGAGGGGTACATACAAGATTACTGAATTCAATATGTAGGTAGTGGTTTGCACATCAGTTTTAAGACCGCTCAGTAAATATTATCTAGCATATCATTTAAAGCTTTCTGTTTAACTGTGGTTAAATAGTCAGAAAAGTTAGTATTGCCTCCTCAGTGTAGAAATGGACAGCACTGCATAAGTGCAAACTGAAAAGTGGTTCTTGTCCAGCAAGTGACCAGGTCTAAATGTCAGGTAGGAGCCAACAAACAGGTGATGGATGCTAGGGAGAAGACTGTTTAATTAGCAGAGGTAGCAAGGAAGTTCAGAAGCTGCTTTATCGCTGGATTTTAGGCACAGTTAAGTTTTGTCTTTGAGGGTCTTCTGTAAAAGGAGATCTGAGACTGATCTGGAGCTCAGGTTTTAGGAAAGTGTTAAAAGAAATGGGGAAGGTGCTTCTGAAAACTGAGCTAGAATGACAAAACAGGTAAAATGGAATTTTCATGGTCTTTTTGAAGCTGTGCCGTGCACCTTACTGGAATTTACCATGAACTTCTTAGGAACCAGTTTTAGAGAACTAGAAAAGGGGAATTATGGTTCATGCCGCCTTTGATTTTATATCTTGCATCATTGCATCAGAGAAAACTTGATTGTCAATATCAGGTATTCTTTAGAGCCTCTTATGGATCCTGATCTATGTTTTGGTTGTGAGTGATGGAGAAATTATGCATTCTCTATCCAGGGTAGATATGATATAGTAATGTGCTGGGAAGAGTTAAGGGTATTTTTTTTCAGGAGATATTTTACCTCTCTTTTGCTTTTAGCCATGGGGCTTGTTTGGTTTTTAATACAGATATGTTGCATTACCTTCCCAGCTGTGTTCAGTTCCCTGCATACTGTGAGCCTGTTATGTACATTACTTACAGCAACTTGTTTTGGAGGAAATTGTAGCCCATCCTGCTGTAGGCTTGGGAGTAAGTCATGGTTCACACCTGGAAACTTCTAATCAACTTCTTGTGGTCTTGAAAATGCAGTCTCTTTTTCATAGCACATTGCTTCCAAGTCAGTCTTGCTTTGTGTATAAATCTGAATTTTGAAACTTGAGTTTTAAACGGAAGACTTCTTGAAATACTAGCTGTGCTCTTGGTTTTTACCTACATGCTTTCTACATGCCTGGATTTGTTTTTGTACTTTAGTGCTGTTAGCACTGACTCTTCTTGCAGAAGCTCAGTCAACTCTCTCCCTTGGAGTAACAGACTGAAACAGACATTTCCATGTTGACTGTGCTCTGGAGGCTGTGTGTAAGAGCACTGAGCACAATTGCCTGTGACACATTACAAGCCCTAATCCAAGGAGTAAGGCAGCAAAGCTGATAGTGAGGAGTTGCTTGGAGCAGTACCCTGAAGAGCAACTGTAGTTGGGATTACCTTTTTTGGCTTCATGATTATTTCCTTGTTTAATTTGGAGAGTAGAGCACTTGCTCTTCCAAAAATTTAATTCTTAAACTATCATACCTAAAAATATATTTTTCCATGTACGTGAAATACATGAGGTTCATTCTGAAATTTGCTGCAACTGCTGAAAGAGGGAAAGAAGAGCTGTTCATGTGTCAAGGGTTGTTTGTTTTCCATCAGCTCTGTAGCCAGGCTTTCTACCTGCATAGCTGGTAGCCAGAAGGAAGATAACTTCTTTTGTGGTGGAACAAGACAGGGCAATGGATTTGTTTGCAGCTCTGTCAGGTGAAATTTCCAGCACTAGCTGCTGCTGCTGCAGCCGTTTGGAGCAGCATGAAGCTGCCAGCTGAAATTGGCCCCAATCTCGGGTTATTTCATTGCTACCCACAAATATCTGAGTAGTGGCATTGAAACAAGCCAGTTTTCACTGGCTGCTGCTTGGGCCAGGTTTGCTGTGCTGAGACAGAAGGGCTTTTGTCTGTAAACTCAGAAAGACACCAAGAGCATCCGCTGAAACTCGGATAGTTACACATGTCTGTAATGGTTAGAGCCCACTTCTCAATGGAAGGCTAAAACTTTACACAAATTACTGTCCAAGAACTGCAGGCTCATTAAGGAGCATTTGTATCTTAACATGGATTATCGTGCTTAATAGCAATCCTCATGGCAGGATGGAGTGAGTAAAATTATCTTCATTGCCCAGGAGGATTTGGTATCTTGGTGACAAATCTCTAAAAATGTGGCATCTTAAGGCTGTAGAAGTACCAACTTAAGAAGTACCAAGTGTGCTTCTTCCATACTGTGGGGATTTGTATTCCTGGTTCCCACTGTATACCCATGGCAGATATGTGACAATCACTGTTCCCTAAGATGTCATTAATGTTCTGCCTTTCTTATAGGTGTATGCAGAATACTTTTGTGGAAACAGCTAACAAGAAATCCACAAAGGAAGATATTTGGTGAGTAAGTTTTATTTCAGTCAGCTTTGATGTGAATGTACGCGAGGCTATGCCATTACTTCCAGAGCTTCTTGGCGCTTTCATTCGGGATCTTAAACACTGGTAATGTTACAAATAGCTCTTGAATTAAAAACCCTCTTCTAAACAATTTCCTTTTTTTTTAACCACAGTGTAAAACATTTAAGCTTTCTATGTATTTTATATTCTGACAAAATGGGAATGTGTTTTCTTTCAAAACAGTTGAGTGATTTCCATCTTTTTTTTTTTTTTAATGAAGGCTACAATTTCTTTTTAATGTATTGTTAAGAAAAATGAGAAGTTATCCCTTATCTCTTGAATGAATAGCATCTCATAAGCACACAGGAGAAAAAACCCAAGAAGTAGCTTACATTTATTCCTGTTCTAAGATCTTGGTTTGCTTCCACTTCTTGACATGAGAAAACACAGATGAAGAAGGAAACTGGAGTGTGTCAGTGATATGATAGATTTCTGCTTCATTAATGTCCCTATGAGTTTTGCTGGGCCTCATGGAGATCCTGCCTGATTCCATGTCATCATTCAATGAACTGGAGGCTTTTCTGCAGTGACACAAGTGAATTTGGCATCACAGGATGTAAATCCAGAAGAAAGATCTCTTCACTTTCTTCTTCCCTTTTTCTTTGGCCAGTCTTAGTGTACTTTGAAGAAGATTCTTAAAACTTATGAGAAGAGTTCCAAAGTTCAGGTTTCTGATAAATCTTTGCCTTGTTGCGTACGTCTGCAGTACTGGTAATCATTGTGATTAATGATTCAGTGTATAGTGGGGACTTTGAATCGACAGCTTCCAAGTTTCCAAAGTTCCTTAACCTATAGCATGTCTGAATGACTTAACTCTGCATGAAAGTCTTACATTTGCATCTCTAGGTCACTGCTTTTGTTTTCAGCTGAGATGCAGTCTCTGTTTGGTCTCATGAACTTTACTTTTTCTTCTTCGTGGGGACGCAGCTTCAGGGGAAATCTTGAACAGGACCCTCCCTTAGGATACACTGCAGTCTGGTGACTGGGGGACTCTGATGCACAGCAGGACATACAAGCCTGGATCTTAATATACAAAGGAGGCATTGAATGCTTTTACCTCCTTGGTATTATGTAAAATGTAGTGAGTGGTTTCTGTTTTTCTATCTCCAGTTTTTGAAGAAAAGAGTTGTGTTCCTGCCCTTTTGCTCTGAAGACTGGATGAAGTAATCTGCCACCAAGTGGTTATTCCAGGCCTTTGACCTCCAGTCAATAGAATACTCATCTTAAGTCTCTGGAAGG